GTTCACGATACCTGTTCAGCTTCTAAATGAAAACACCATAAAATAAGATATTTAGCAGTTTCTTCACATACAAGATATGGATGGTCAGATAAAAATCTCTGACTATCATCCCATCGACTCAACATACCTGTAAAAAAAGAATTAAACCATGAATATCAAATACTTTCTTCTTATAAGTGAAGCAATGGTATTTTAAAATGATTATCTTTAAGGACGATTCATACTACCACAGCAATATGTTATATAAAAGAGCAAATGAAGAGGGATAAAATTCTTTTAAAACAATATGCAGTATATTGGAAATAGCTTCCAAAATTCACAGAAAGGTGTTTTTTGTTTGTTTGTTTGTTTTGTTTTTCCCCCCAGATAATTAGTCAGACTTAAGCTGAGTGATTGATTTAAAGCCAAAACTCCTATATCTGGGGTATGCCCGAAGTCCAGGGCAAAGTGAGATGGCTGGTCATCTAGTAAAAAAAAAGATGATTTTAGGAGACTCAACATTATTTAGTCACAGAATGTATTTTTTTCTATTGGAAAGATGAAAAAGACAGCAAAACCTCAAGAAACTACACTTAGCGAACAAAGAATTAGTAGAAGATTCAGAAAAGCTACATTCTAATTAAGATGATATGGTAAAATGTTGACAGCATGGGAAACTAATACAGTCAGTTTTATAAAAACAATATACTTTAGCCCAGCTCAGGTGGCTATAGACCCACGAACCAAGAGGTCACCAGTTTGATTTCTGGTCAGAGCTTGACCCCCAGTAGGGGGCGTGCAAGGAGACAACTGATGAATGTTTCTCTCATTAATGTTCATATCCGTCTACCCCTCTCCCTTCCCTTCTCTTTAAAATCAATAAAAACATATTAAAAAAACAAACAAACAATATACTTTAACTATTTTAATCATGTTAACCATTTAGTCATTCTGTTTGTATACACAGAAAACAAAATCTTTTAAAAACTAGTTAAGCATATTTGCAAATGGCTGCCACTTTGCTTCAAATATCAAACTAAAGTTCTAAACCAAATACTACTTAAGGTGCAACTTCATCTTTATTCAAATTAATAAGAAATTTAGTCAAAAAGTCAGTATCACCCCAAGTGATCATGGAACCAGTAAAGTGTTAAGTTTTTATTTAACTCTGTCCAGTCAGCTTTATATTTGAATAAATTAAGTATAACATAGTTATCCTTAGTGCTTTAGACTCATCCAAGGAAGTCTGGATGTTACTGAATCATCATGAAAATTTTATAAAGCTGTCTTAATAGTTTGGCAGTAAATCTTTCCTCTAGACCAGTGGTTCTCAACCTTCTAATGCCGCGACCTTTTAATACAGTTCCTCATGTTGTGGTGACCCCCAACCATAAAATTATTTTCGTTGCTACTTCATAACTGTAATTTTGCTACTGTTATGAATCGTAATGTAAATATCTGATACGCAGGATGTATTTTCATTGTTACACAATGAACATAAAGCATAGTGATTAATCACAAAAACAATATGTAATTATATATGTGTTTTCCGATGGTCTTAGGCAACACCTGTGAAAGGGTCGTTCGACCCCCAAAGGGGTCGCGACCCACAGGTTGAGAACTGCTGCTCTAGACACAAAATGAACTTCCATATATTATAGTTCCACATTAGAACACAAGGAAGAACAAAACTGAAGACGTATGTCTTACTGAGAAATACACCTTTAGCAACATGGGAATCAATTGAAAATAAGTGATTAATTATTAATTGAAAATAAGTGATTTGTCCTCATTTAAAAAACACAGGGAAAAAGCATTTTAGCATTTTCTTATAAAGAGTTTTACAAGCTTTATCAAGTTATTTACCCAACATTCTGGATACAGTGATTAGGTCATTTTAAATTCTGAGAAGCAGAATGACCATAGAAGTTGTTTGAAACTACTTCTCAAACTGTAATTAAAGAACTTAATAACTTTTGAGGATCATATCTAAAGGAAGCATAATCCTTATTGCTTATACCTGAAGTCATAAAATAAATCCTATAAAGCAGTTTTATCTTAGCTCTGTGACATTTCTGAAGAGGCAATATTTTCAACTCTATCTACTATCCATAGAGAGAGCATTGTTCTCCTGTTTACTTCTCCATGGCAGCATAATGACTCACTGAAGCACCAAAATCCTATCCATTTTGGTTTCTTTTGCGGGCAAGATAATATGAAAGGGTTAGTGACACTTGTAGGGGCCATGAAGAAGGGTACCATTAAATGTTAAAACAATAATTTTAATGTTATTTTCTTTTTTAAAAAATTTTTATTGTTGAAAGTATTACATAGGTCCTTCTTTCTCCCCCATTAACCTCTTCCAGCCCACTCCCATCCCCCTCAAGGCCCTCACCACCCCACTGTCTGTGTCCATAGGTTATGTATACTGTATATGCATAGAAGTTCATTGGTTGATCTCTTTCCACCCATACTCCCAAGACAAAATTGACCCTTGAAGTTGACCATAGCTTTTCTTCATCTGAGAAATACTTGCCATGACTTGATTTAAAAAATGTATACCCAGCCTGGCCAGCGTGGCTCAGTGGTTGAGTGTCAACCTAAGAACCTGGAAGTCATGGTTTGATTCCCGGTCAGGGCACATGCCTGAGTTGCCGCTCGATCCCCCGTGTGGGGTGTGCAGGAGGCAGCCAATCAATGATTCTCTCTCATCATTGATTTTTCTATCTCTCCCTCTCCCTTCCTCTCTGAAATCAATAAAAATATATATTAAAAAAACAACAACAAAAAGTATACCCAGCCCTAGCTGGTTTGGCTCAGTGAATAGAGTGTCGGCCCACGTACTGAAGGGTCCTGGGTTCGATTCCGGTCAAGGGTATGTACCTTGGCCGAAGGTTCCCTGGCCCTGGTTGGGGTGTGTGCAAGAGGCAACCAATCGATGTGTCTTTCTCATATTGATGTTTCTCTCTGTCTCTCCCTCTCCCTTCCACTCTCTCTAAACATCAATGGAAAAATATCCTCGGGTGAGGATTAACAACAAAAAGTACACCCAATTATTACAAAATTGATAAGTTAGGTTATAGGTACTCCATATAGACCTTTGTGGGGAGAGTGTGGAATCTTGAACAAATATATCAATAGAATCAATGCCTTAGTGGAACAGAAGATACCTGAAAGTGCTAATATTATTTTGGAATTTATAAACAAATGGAGAGTAACACAATCTAGCATGATAGCTAAGAAAACAGAATCTAAGGCTAACCTGCTTTGGTTCAAGTACTGGCCATTTACCACACCTTGGACAAGTTCCTTTATACCTCTATGCCTCCATTTTCTCTTATGTAAAACTAGAGGCCCAGCGGCGATAACGCGCAGCCCCGTCCACCTTGCTGCGATTGGAGCCTGTGGGCCAAAAAGGCGGGGGAGGGCGTGAGGTGCTCCATGCACCTCATGGTGACCGGTTGTTTGGTCGTTTTGGTTGTGACGCCTCTTGGCCTTTTATTATTATGATAGGGCTAAAAATAGTAACTTACAGGATTTTTTTGCGGATTAATCAATACATATTAGAGCACTTAAAACAGTGTCTGACAGAGTAAACACTGATAATATTCACACAATATGAACAATTCATTCATTTATCAAATAGTAAACTAATCCTTTGGTTAAGGATAACCTAGTCATTTAAACTAGCCAACCAACTTATCTAGATACCTGAAAAACCTTAGGGAAATTAAAATAGTTTAAAATAATTTCACCTTTAAATTTTCCTGGTAAACATCTAAATCCCAATCCATCCATCAGCTTTTAATATTCTAACTGATTCTTAACACAGTCCCTAAAATATATAATCTTGATAATTTCTGTTTCCTTTTTACATTATACTCATAATAAAAATTTTAATCCTTCAAATTATACTTATTATCTTAATTTCTCTATGTGCTAAAATCTCCCAACTAGGTTGTGAATTTCTTAATGAAAGATATATGACCTTTTTTTCTATACTTCCTGAGCCACAGGTCTCCTTTATTCCCAATCACCTACCACCAGACAATTATTTCTACCTACATGCCTGCACATAAACTCATTTTATTTGAAACCAAACCCATTAGTTTTTCCCTACCATCTACAGTGCTTCCTAGGCTCCATTACCCAATTAAACATTCTAGAAATTTCTCTGACATTTCTATTCTTCCTATAACAAATTGTTCACTAAATCTTGTGGTTATACTATTATAGTCTGTTAATATGGTGAATCATATTAATGAGTTTTCTAATGTTAAACCATCCTTGATTTCTTACTATAAACCCTTCTAAATATTTCTTTTTCAGATTATATAAAGTATATTTATTGTGAAGAATTTGAAAAATCCAGGAGATAAACATTATCTGCAATTCTCTAAGCAATAATTAATGTTAACATTTTTATGTATTTCCTTCTGGGCTTATTTTTTAACTAGAGGCCCGGTACACAGATTCGTGCACTGGTGGGGTCCCTCAGCCTGGCCTGTGGACAATCCCCCAAGTGGTCCCGAATTGCAAGAGGGGGCAGGCCAGGGTGAGGGACCCCACCGGTGCATGATTGGGACCGGGGAGAGACTGTGGGAGGGCTCCAGGGTGTGTCCGGCCCATCTCGCCCAGTCCCAATTGGCTGGACCCCAGCAGCAAGCTAACCTACTGGTCGGAGTGTCTGGCCCCTGGTGGTCAGTGCACGTCATAGTGATTGGTCGAACAAATGGTTGGACACTTCGCATATTAGGCTTTTATTATATAGGATGACTTTCAAAGAAACAAAATTGGAATTATATCCTCCATATTTATTTTCTACTCATTTCACTTCACATTGTATACAAGAGTACTTTATATTAAATATTTTTAAAAAATAGGATATTGACATGTTTGAAAGCGATAGCTAACTGGTTTCATTGAACAGACTGTGACTATCCACCTTCCGTGTCACTGAAAAAGATCTCATCATAGTATTTATGCAAATGTTTACAGCTTTTTTCTTTTCTTTTTTACAGCTTTTGATAAAATTCCCAATGACAACATCCTACATAGATTCAAAAATTGCTGAATCACAGCTAAATTTGGCTGGAAGTCAACAGATGAGCCATTGAAAACTGTGTTAGATCATCAAAAAGCAGTTCTGCTGATCATAAAGACAGTAATGTCAAAGATTCATATGACTTTGAATAAAACTTTTGTAAAATTTTAAAGAAAATAGATTTTGTTTCTAAATTGATATTTTATATTTATAAAGCATGGATTACTAAATTAAGTACAAATGCAGGAGGAAAATAATCAAGATTCCAGTGCCTCACAGTACTCCATAATATGGTTGTACTATTTATCATCAGATGGCAAATTCCATCTAGTTATAATGTTAAAAGCAACATAAGAGAGATAGTCAACAAATACTATTAGGGAAAGTTAGGACAAATGTTTTAATTGCACATGAGACCACAGAGAAGAACTGGTGTGGAAGCCTCTGTAGCCCTTTATAGCGACCCATGTCTTCCGAAAGTTTGGAATGCAATGCAAGTTTGGAAAACCTCCAGTTGGAAGCTTTAATCACAATTGCTATTCCAGATGTGTTTACTTCAAAGAAGTATATCAATATCATTATTCTGACAAATTTTTTTCCTTTACCACATTAAGCAACACCACCCGAAACATTTGCTTCCACCAGCAAAGAGCATTAAACTTTCATTGTCTTGCCTCAGGTCTCTAACACCACCAGAAACTTTTGCTTCCACCAGCAAAGAGAGCATTAAACTTTCATTGTCTTGCCTCAGGTCTCTATCAACTCTGTGCTACAATTTAGTTCACAGGGACTTTGTTATCTCATCATTCCACATAACTGTAAATTGGTCTACTTCACACTGATGGAACTTGGTGAGCGGAAGTAGCAGGTATCCCAGATGTCTTGGTAAGATATAAACATGCCAGAAAGCTGGAAATAAAACACAGGAAATTTGGGGGAGCCTACAATCTTAGTACATTTCTGGAGGATCCAATGGGCTATAGCAAGCAGGCTATCTCCTCCAACGTGAAAAGTCAATGTGCATTTCCACTAAAAAACAGGCACAATGTGAATCCGTGAGTGGCTATAAAGTCTGATTGGCTTTGAAGACAGTATGGCTCTGGTTAGTATTATAGGATGAGACACTGGAAGCCCACACATACAATGGCAAAACAATTGTTTATTAATCATTTGTGAATGTTATGACAACCATTATCCTCAGTCATCTCATTGCTTACACAGTATTTTATAAACTAAGGGGTCATGATGGCAGATGAGATTATGCAGAGATTCAACAGCCTGGGATCTCCCCATCAATATTCCAGGATAGCCAATGAACACCTAATTTGCCAGTAGCAGAAATCAGTGAATCTCGGAGGAACCATTGGTCCCTCACTTCAACAAGGCCATCCAGATCTGGTATTGCCTTCTCTCCTTGACATTCTTCTATCAGTAATACATCTGTGGTCTTACTAAATGACTTATATCCCCTACCACATTACTTACTGACCCAGTGAAAAATGAAGGCAATGGGCTTGTGAAATTCACTGGTATTAGGAACACACTATCAAGAAACACCAGGTTTATTGAATGTGAAATGTTTTACTGAAGACACATACAGTTATAGTGCCAGGTGGGTTATTACACCTTGTAAGGTTGAGATATTTTCCCACATAATATTGCTTCTGACCAAGTTTACAGCAAAAGTGAGGGAACTGTTTCACACCGGCTGGTTTTACATGGCTCCAAAGCAACTCGCCTATAATATGTCAGCTGGTGACACCTGAGGGATGCTATTCTACCAGCTGCAGCCATGCTCTGAAAGAGCAAGTGATATACGGTACTGTTTCCTACAGCAGAATACATAGGCCTAGGAAGAGAACTGGAGGTGAGAGTGACAACTCACATTATCACAACTAAGACTTACAAAAATTTTGCTTTTTATCCCTATGACTTGGGCTCTACTCATTTAAAAATTTTAATATCTAACCAAGCGAGGGCTGTTTATCCTTTTCTTTCTATTATAAATACCAGAATAATAACATATATAACAATAAACTTCACTTTTTCAGATACTATGTTTGAATTAAACAGAATACACAGCTTATATTTTTAAATAAAAAGTATGAGGAAATGGGTATTTTATGAATAAACTGCATAAAAAGAAGGAAAAAATCTAAATTATCTATTGTCATGACATAGTTGAGGACGAATGAAATTCTAAATACTTTTGGGGGAAGGAACACCAATAGGAAAGAGATCTCAAAATGCCATTTAAAAATCTTATTAATATACTACAAATAAAAACTATGTTTACTAAATGAACATATTACTTGGGATAAAAAAACATGACTTGAAGCTTAACTCCTAACACTTCCGAGTGGCATTTTTACTTCAGCAGTATCACACTGCTTATAAATTTTACAACACAACATGCTGCTTCCCAACTGTGTCTTTGCATGTGCTGTTGCTTTGCTTCCTTATCTATATGGATAACTCCTACGTGTTCCTCATAATCCAGTTCAGCTGTTACCTCCTCTGGGAAGCCTTCACTTACATTAATCCCTATCTTAACACCTTTCCCCTACAAAGAAAACTATTTTTCAGTTCTTTGTATACATATTTCTATTACTATATTTATCTGAATAACAATTCAAGGACCTGCTTGAATTATATAATATCTAAAACCTAGAGGGGTGGGGGGATAAAAGCTAGTCCTATAACCAGATACCAAGGAAGCAAAGAGGAAAAAGATAAAGCAAAGACTAGCTGGGGAATGGAAAGAGGATGTGGAGTAAATAAAGACTGTATAGTATAGGGTAGTATCTATACTAATAGAAGAGTATTATGCTAACTAGACCAGGAGACCTTCCAGAGATCTTCTGGACGTCCTTCAAGACAAAGCCATGGTGGCGGGGCCGAGGCAGAGGCAGTTAGGGGTGATCAGGCCAGCAGGGGAGAACAGTTGGGGGAGAGCAGGCCATCAGGGGAGAGCAGTTAGGGGGCGATCAGGCTGGCAGGGGAGGGCAGTTGGGAGCGATCAGGTCAGCAGGCAAAGGTGGTTAGAGGTGATCAGGCAGGCAGGCAGAGTGGTTAGGGGCAATCAGGCAGGCAGGCAAGCGGTTAGGAGCCAGTGGTCCTGGATTGTGAGAGGGATGTCCAACTGCGGGATTAGGCCTAAATCGGCAGTCGGACATTCCCCGAGGGGTCCCGGATTGGAGAAGTACAGGACACCCCCTACCCCCCGCCACACTGTGCATGAATTTCGTGCACTGGGCCTCTAGTTATATAATAATAGATGTTATAGAAGGTAATTCAAACAATAGACTTACCAAAATGTCTGATTTTTTGCTCATATTTCTGCATAAATGATTCTGATTTATCTTCATCTTCTGTTTCTTTTCCTTTATCTTGATTAATAAAACTCTAAAAAAATTTAAGTTAAAATCAGATTTTATATTCTGATTGATCTTCTTTCTCAGATACTGAATGTCTTGCAATCTTTTCTATAGACACTATAAATAGGTGGTATACTCTTATACTGATAGTATATCATTAAATTCATTTGTTAAACTCTATTAAACAATTACAATTTACTTATACTGGAGTTTCATTTAAAATGATGTATGAAAAGTTATAGAATTACTTTAGAAATTATACAGAAAAACAAATGAATCTTTTTGTTAAACTAAATTTCCCTATTAAAGGTAGGTATAGAAAGATCCTTTACATGCATCATTTATGTTTTGCTTTATTCATTCCCATTAAGTATCTGCAACTCTAGACCAGTGATTTTCAACCTTTTTAATCTCATGGCATACATAAACTAATTACTAAAATTCTGTGACATACCAAAATATATATATTTTGCTGATCTGACAAAAAAAGTAAGATACAACTTTGATTTATTTACAAAATAAATAAATACCTTTTTTTGCTTCAAAATGACTTTTTAAAAATTTAGGTGCCCTTGCACACTCTCTCCTAGGAGCATGCCTGCGCCTTCCCACCTCTTTCTTTCTTTTCTTTCTTTCTTTCTTCTCTCTCTCTCTCTCTCTTTCTTTCTTTCTTTCTTTCTTTCTTTCTTTCTTCACAAGCATGATTTCCTAAACTCTAAGGGACATCACAAGGCTTGCAACCAGTGCAGCAATGGGCAGTGGCAATTCATCCCAGGCAAACCCCTGAACCAGTCCCCATGGCCCCTTGTTTTTTTTTTTTTCTTCTTTTTTTTAATCCTCACTTGAGGATATTTTTGCATTTCTTTTGAGAAAGTGGAAGACAGGGAGAAACATCGATGTGAGAGACACACATCAACTGTTGCCTTGAGCACGCACCTTGACCAGGTTTGGGGAGCAAACTGACAACCCAGGTATGTGCCCCAGGAAGCCCTCTCGGTGAGCCAAAGCAGCTCAACCTAGGCTCATTTTCCCAGCCCTTCCTTGTTTAATTGCCCCTAGCTTTAATAAACATCCACTAAAATAAAAAATAAAAATTCAGGCATCTAAACTTTTATATAAAGACTAGAGGCTCAGTGCGCAAAATTCGTGCACGGGTACGGTCCCTAGGCCTGGCCGGCAATCAGGGCTGATCAGGGCCTTACGGCTGCCACCGGGGCCTCCCTTCCAGATGCCAGCTGGGGCCTCCCTTCATTCTGCGCTGCCCGCTGGTGGTCAGCGCACGCCATAGCAAGCGATCAAACTCCAGGTCAAACTCCCTTGGGGACAATTTACATATTAGGCATATATATATGATTTCTGGTACCAAGAGACACCTTATTATGTGAGATGACCAATAAGATGCAACTCTATTATATGACCTATATATAAGACATACCAGACAGCTATAGTTGTTTTGGCTATTGTCATTTTTTTTTTTGACAATCTAAGGGAAAAGAGGTCAGTGCCCCTGACTAAATAGTCAGGTACTATATGTTTTAAAAATTCTTGCGGTTGAAAGTCACTGCTCTAGACTAATCTTTGGAGCTCTTGCTGGATATAAATCCCGAAATTCAAAGCATATAGAGAATAAAATATTATCTACCAGAAAGTCTTTGATAAGACACAAACCTAAAATAGACCTTTGTTGTAAACTTTTCTTAGGAGAAGCCAAACAGTTTGATTCTGAAATCAAGTACAAAATTCTATTAAAGAAGTGCTTATTTTCGATTAAATAAGTCATAAAACAGACCAAGATGAAGT